TTCAAATCTCACTTCAGGCTCAACTCAGAAGATGGCTTTAGCCAATCTACTCAGAACCTGGCTGGGAATAATACTGGCCTCCCTTACAGAGTTGTTTTCTGAGCTAATGTATGCAAACCATGTTGAACACTCAAAAAGCTCTAAATTCAAAGTGTTATTACCCCAGAACAGGCTAACCATCTGTATTTACATGTGAACTTATTTCTCTTCAAAGAAAAAGTCTCAGGATGAGTCATACTGTGCAAGCAGTGAACAGAGTTTCTAAAACATTTCTGCAGATAGGTTGTAAATAATTCATTGTTCCAAATCAAGATGGTGTTTACATGCTTCACTGGTTGCTGTGAGGTTCAATTAACATATTTATAAAGCACACGGAGAAGAGTACTGTATGAAGTACAATATTCATTTTTTTAAAAGGGGGAGAAAGGAAAATGGGTGAGACACTGCCACTTACACTGCTCTCTGAGCTGCAAAATAAAGCTTTACCAAAGAACATTAATAGTTAATGTCCTAAAACGAGGCCTCCACTTGTATAGGTATGTTGAACAGCAATTCTGGCAACCAAAGAAAAGGTTTTACAATGTTAGTGCTAGAAAGCTATATACCTATGTGCTGCTAGACAAGCTAGAAGCAATTATACAGTGTGCTGTTTGTTAGTTGCAACTTTAACGCTAGATCATTATTTAATCCTTATAGGTTGCCTGAGAATTAACCACCCATAATAAAATTAGGAGAGAAGCACAAATCTTTGAGAAATTAAGACAGGAATATTTGAGTTGACACACTTCTGGATATGTAAAAAGTGGTGTTTTCTAGATATAAACCAAAAGTGCAAGAAAGCAAACCAGAACATTCATGCAAACATACAATAATTCCATCATACCTAAACCATCATGGTCAAATATACTTTTCATATTCATACTTTTGGAGCTCCTTATCAATGTATGTACTGAAATCTGTGAAACTTCTGTGGATTACAACATAAAAGAGATAAATAATATAATACCTCCACTATTCTGTCTCCTGTTTTTAAGGTTCCGTTTTTGCCAGCAGGGCTGTCTTCAAGAATATGTTTGATAAAGATTCCTCTCATAACTTCACCACTGCTCAGACGGCTTCCCATTCCCCGTCCACCAACAATGCTGATGCCCAGGGACTTACTGGGTTCTCTCCAGAGTTCAACCCTGTAACAATAGAAATATTGCTGTTATTGCATTTTTAAGCACAGCCTTCCTCCAAGGAGCTCAGAACAATCCTGTGAGGTATATCAAGTTGGTTGCTAGCACTGGGTCACCTAACAACCTTTTGGCTGAATTGGATTTTTTTAACCTGGATCTTTCAAGTTCTAGTCATTATGTTTACTACACTGCACTGCATCCATATTACAGATGCAATATTTTGCAGCTTTTCCAAGGATCTATCAGGTTGTTTAAGGAAGAATTTGGAAGGAACCTAATTTTTATGAGTTTTACTTTTCTAGCTGAAATTTACATTTTGTGGTATAAATGAATTTTTCATTACAGTCTAAAATCACTACACCCAACAAAACTTTCCTACTATCTGCCATCCAAGTTTTGGATACAAAGAACCAAGGAACTGTTTGGGAAGCCCAAAGAGTTTGGTGGGGTTTTTTTGTAACATAATGATAATGACTCAGGATAGATAGGCTCAGTTCCAGATTATTAGCCATATGTTTTATGTATTTCAATGACATTATGTGTTTCCTTGTGGATGTTAAAAATGAAACATAGGCCTTGTTCATGCAGCATACTTAAAGCAGTAACTTTGCCCATTCCTCAATTGTACTTCAGGCAATTCAGCATAAGAGCTACCAATAAGGAAATCCTTGGGGGGGGGGGGAGCCAAAAGTTGCATCCTACCACTTTGCTCAGCTAAGGGGACAGCACTCTTCCAGCAGGCTCAGATTTCCTCCAAAGAAGCACTTCTACCACTCCTGCCATCAGAGGAAAACTCCACATGCAGTTGAGCAGATTGGCAGAATGCAAGCTAATATGTTGAGTCCACTGGAGGATTTCCATGTCCAGTGCAACTTCCTCATCCACTCCCAGTGCAACCCAAATTGCTCCTTTGATGTTTATGGGGGCCTTTGGGGCTATAGAAGGAGGCAAGATACTCCAGAGACAGCAATCCTTTTACCTACTGAAATTCCTGGGTCATCCAAGCCAATGTCCCTGCTAATAGCTCACACCAACTCTTCAGATCCAAGTCTTGAAAAATTTCCTAAAAGTACACCACATTAGAATCTTGATACAAACTGGGTAATTCACAGGACCAGTAACTACCATTTTGAGTTTGTAACAGTTTCACTGCCTAAGCAAAATGTGAAAACAACCTTTGACCTGGCCCTCCGACACACTCTCTGAAACACATACAGCTTTCCTTTGAGTAACAGTTTGCACCTGTCCACGTGTAAAAAAGACACACCCAGGGAAATGCTGATCACCACTCTGGGGTCAGGCAGCAATTTTTCTCCAGGCCAGTTTGGCCAGGGATCCTGGAGGATTTTTGCCATCTTCTAAGCATGGAGCAGGGGTCACTGGGAGTGTGTAAGGAGGGGAGGTATTTGTGACTTTCCTGCATTGTGCAGGGGATTGGACTCAGTGACCCCGGAGTTCCCTTACAACTCTATGATTCTATGATTCTAAGACAAAATGAGGGTTTGGTTTACTGTCTTGAGCCAGTGAAGTTAGGTCCAAGGAAATGTGGAGCATTTATTCAACCCCACAATGCAGAATTCCAAGAAAGTGAAAGACCATGGGTTCCATCCTGTCTTCCACTGATGGAAGGCACTTCAGCCACTGGAACACAACTTCCCTGCCTCCCCCTCCCACTACAGCCCACTAAGCTCCCCAAATTGGGGGTCTGAATTAACAGGGGAGAACTGACAAAAATTTCCCCCCATACACTTGCAGAACATGATGCTTGGATCCAACCCAACGAAAAAATGCATGCATTATCCAATCACTTGGTTTATAAAATCCATTGCACTGTTATAAAGATAACCCCATGCATGTGTGTGCACGCAGTGCATTAGATAGACTGCACTGATTAAGAGAGGAGAAAGCAAGCTTTTACTTTTTGTCAAAATGAAATTATGCAATCTGAATTGGGGGGGAAATGCCACAGAAGTATGTGTGCCTATTGCAGCATCAGTCCAAATGTCCCTAATCAATTTTGCCTCACATTTTGAGAGACTGGGGGCAGCTTAAACAAATGAGCAGAATCGTGGTAAAACTTCCTGGATACTTCAGCCAGGCTGCATGTCTGAATGCCCCTTTGTCCATCCTACCATTCTCCCTGGCATGCTTTTTATGTAGTAAGTCCATTTTACACTGATCCACTGCAGTTCTCCTTAAGAGAAGTGATTTTTTTTTGTCATCTCCTATACTGCTGTATTCTAATTCTTGACAGTTTCGCTGAATCCTCTCTCTCTTCTATTATTACCATCAACATTTTACATCTGAGAAGCCTGTTTCACTATTTTCACTGCTTGCTACTTCTCCTGGTGTGTATTTTGCATAGTTCACAATGTACTGACAACTGTTCTCCACCTCCAGAATGACATTAATATGTGGGATAAATGATTTTTAAAGAAAGAAATACAATAAATTATGCTAAATTATTGTTTCTGCTGCAGAAGGAGTTTTAAAGGTACTAACAGTAAAGATGGCATCACATCAAAAGAAATGTTACAACATGCCAATATAACTGCAATAATTCAAATTGTTTCACTACATTTATGTTTATACCTTTAGACAATTTAAACCAGAAAATATATTAAAATTAAGTGGGATCTGTCCAACGTTTTTGAGTAGGAGCCGCCGCCGCCACTATTCCACCACTGAGATTCCATCATCCATCTACCCCATTACTGGGGGGGGGGGGTAGATGTTGCCCGGCAGAGATGGGGAGAATATCATTCCTGGTGCTCGTGCCATTAAAAAAGTCGGCCGCCAATGTGGAATGTGCGCATCTTGGTGATTTTATGTAGATTATTAGAGCACCGATTTTATTATGTATGAAATATTGTTTTACTGCTTTAAATTTTAAATTTGGCATTGTCGCTTGTTAGCTGCCCTGAGCCGCTGGGTACGGCGGGATATAAATCCCAAAATAAATAAATAAATAAATAAATAAATAAAACGTTTTTTATTATGAAGTACTAACTTTCACATTTTATTTATGTATGCGCCAGTCTGCTAATATTGAACACACTACCGATCAGTGAGAAGTCAAAGGAAACCAATCTGGGGCCTGCTGGAGATGTAATGATGTCTCATCTATTAAACATATCTCCTGCCCTTCTTCTAAGAAGCTTGGGTTTTCTCAACCTATGATTAGTTCACTGGGAATGTTCCACTAACTTAGGAGTTCCTCTTCTCTTGTACATCATTTCTTCTTCTCTTTCATTTTTAGCATTATTTATGGTTAACATTATGCCTGCACTGCCATTTTTCATTTACCATGGTTTGTACCAAACTAGAGTTTCCAACAATGTTTAAAAGTAGATATACAGGCTATGTATGAGGCTCCTCACAGGCCGTCCCGCCTTCTACTCTTCTGGCCAGGGTCATACAGATACTCCATAGGCCTCAGAATAGGAAGGAGAAGGGGTTCCATCATTTAGCTCCTCTTCCTTCTCAGGACTGGCTCACTGCCACTCTCTCTCTTGTTCCAAGTGCTCCCTTTCCTCTCCAGCCTGCTCTGAGAGATTCCCTTTTGATGAACCCCAGGACCACCCTATAGTCCAGACCCAACCCGGTCCTGGCTCCACCCCCTCAGAAGTAACTAAAGGAGGAGGACCAGATGCCAACCCCAGGAACCTGCCAGTCACCCGTTCCCTTCCACGTGCATCCAATGATTTTGAATGCAACTTCCTCCCACCTCCACCTTTCGCCTGCCCAGTCTCAGCCCTGATGAGGGCCCTCTTCCCCATGTGCCACTGCTGGGCTGGCCAGACCCATTGCCTGCTTCCTCATGGCTGCCCTCTATCCCACAGGGCTCAGTGAGGCTCATTCCTGGCAGGCATGCACTTCAGCAAGCCAATAATGGCCATGATGTCACCAGCAACCATGTTGGGGCATTCTGGGCCCTTTTCTCCACAGCAGCTGCTTCCTGTCTCCACTAGACCTTCGTGGCAGTAGCCCATGAGCTTGGATTCATCCCTGTGACCACCAGGGCCTCCTTCTTTGCTCTGCCAAGGAAGAGCAATTCAGGGCCCTGGGAGGCTATGTCTTGCCTGGCACAGGCCAAGTAAAGCCTGGCCCCAGCTCCGGAGATTATGGTTTACATTAAGCATTAGTATCAATATAGATGTGATGGTAACTAGGGGCTACCATTATTTTAAACTTGGGATTTGGGAAGAACACCTTTACTGTTTATTCCTACATTTTTCAAATAGGGGATCCAATCTGAGAGTCTGGTGCAGCTATTTTTAAAGATATCAGACCCCCAAAGTAGCTGCCCCGCGGAGCACTTTTCTTCCCTGTTTCCTATGGTTGGAAATGGCAGAAACAGGCAGGAGAGCACCAGGAGTTGGCTTTAAAAAAAAAGAAAAAAAGCCCTGGCTGCATCTGGTTTCTTTACATACATAGTGACTGACAACTGTTTTTTTACCTTTCCACAAAAAACTCCTCTTTGTTGTGATCCTGTATCTCCTTTCACAAAGAAAGGCTTCCTTTGCATACAACCACCTCTCCTGCTCCATTACTGCAATCTTTGAAAATAGTTCAATTTTTTAAAACCAGAATGCCATGACCTGGATAGCCCAGGCAAGCCTGATTTCATCAGATCTCGGAAGCTAAGCAGGGTCGACTCTTGCAAGTACTTGGATCGCAAGTACTTGGATGGGAGACCACCTTGAAATACCAGGAGGGGGAGATGGGGGCAGGCTTTACTCAGTCATCTTTCTGAATATCCTCCAGACCCACAGTAGGGGTCAGTCACCAGAGGTTGCTATGACTTCCTGGTACACACACACTCACATGCACACACAAACTCCCATGCACATGTAAAAAAATACTCAGAATACTCCACCCCAGAACATGTGTGTATGTGTGTGTGTGTGCGCACGCGTGCACATTTGATTCCATGTGATGAATCAATCATCCAACAGCTGAGATACATGTTGTCACACTTGGGCAACTGTGGTAGTGGTACCTTAATTACTTTTCCTATTTACTACTAGTGGCATCCAGCCCAGACCACCAGCTAAGGGCCTTAAACATTTCTTCTCTGGAACTTGTCTCCAATTGGTAATTGGCTGGGAGTGCACCTGATTCCTTGCACAGATCCAATTTGAAGCGGGAAATGCATAGGAAAACAAGAGCATCAAACAAAAACAAGACATCTGCTGCTGCTGATGATGATGATGATAGTACACACCCAAACACCATCAACAAAATAGACAGGAGGCTATTTAAATACGTAATAATCCCAGATTTGTGTTTACCATTCCAGAAATCATGGTAACAACACCAAAAAGCCATTTTTTTATATATTTTCAGTTCAGGAATTTCAGAATGTACAGCCCTAATGGTGACCATATTAAGCTCTGAAATGAAAAGGGGTGGGGAATGCCCATGGAAGAGGAGAGGAGCACAAGGAGCTCCCTGATCTCCTGGTACAATAATGTGTGTTAGAAGACACAGGCTGCAATCCTAAGTGCACTTACTAAGGAGTGAGTCCCATTGAAAAATTACTCAGTAATACATTTAGGATTGCAGTGATACTGTCCTAATTATCCATATCCCTTGCCCTTATAACCATTTGTTCTAATACATCTTCCAGCTATCTTAATTTCTAGTTATTCAAAACAGACTCCAGATCATTCAAATAAAGGAAACTGGTGATGTATCAATAATTCCACTAAACTACATTAAAGAGCTAAGAGGGTTGTCAGACAAGTATAACCACACTGACCGCCTTGGCTGGCTCCAATTACTGTAGCCAGCATTCTGAAGTTCACTTTCTTCTCCTTCTCCTTCTTCACGTTCTGGTAGTTCTGGGATTTCTCTGCTAACAGACAAGAGGTTTTTTAGAAAGTTATAGAAGTCATCTCTACTTATTCCACGATATAAATACAATGTCAGAAAGTATTCCACATAAAACCTAAGAGCCAAAAGCCCTTCCTCAAATCTAGAAGTTTGGACTACAAAATGAATACCTTTCAGAATCCTTAGACATGAACTTCTGAATATACACAAGACTTTATGCAACAAAATTCCAGTCCAGTGGCACCTTTAAGATCAACAAAGTTTTATTGTGGGTATAAGCTGTCATGTCCATGCATACTTCTTCAGATACATGCACACAAAAACTTTGTTGGTCTTAAAGGTTCCAATGGACTCAAACTTTGTTCTGCTTCAGACCAACATGGCTACACCCCTGAATCTATCTTTATGTAAGAAATTGTTATTTAAAATATTATGTAAAATGATAAACCAGAAAGCAACTATAATAATGGAGTACTGTGTTTCAGTTTGGGCACCAGAGTTTAGTAAACTGGATGGAGTCAGTAAGCTGGACAGAGTCCATAATGCAACAAAGCTGGTAAGGGGTTTGGAGACCACATCCATTTGCTGGAACTCAAAGAACTATACCACAGGAAGCATCTGTTGGTATAACCTTGAGGTTTATTTGCCTTTCTGTCCCTTTGACTATTTAGGGTATAGATGAACAGAGTTAAAACAAAGAGGGATGAATTCATTATAACAAGAGAACAGAAAATTACCTGACAGCATGAGAAGAAAAAATATCTAGTTGCAACGCTCCTTCTGACTGCTGCCCTAAGCTGGCCTGGTACTCTTCCAATTGCTCTGCTGGAACATATGTAATGCTGCAACACAAAGCATAGCCTGTAATCAAGATGCTGCAGGTGTCTGGGAGAATGGGTTCAGTGATCAACTGAGGTCTGAAGCCACGGGGAATACAATGACTTTAAAATACAGTATATTTTTCTAGGGCTTAACTGGATTGCATACTAGACTGTATCAATGGGTGGACACAGCAAAAATTAATATTTAGAGTACGAGGAACAACAATTACATATGGGTCTAGGAATATCTTCTCCCATATATAAGTCCCCATGATTTAAAATATGCTGAGCTTCCAATGCTATTGTTCTTGGCTTAGGTTGTTTGGATCCTGATGCAGGGCTTTCTCAACAGTGGCACCAAGGGTATGCACGAGGTTCTCCAAGGGTGTGCATGAGGTTCTCACTTGATGCTTTTAGATTAAAGCCTTCACATTATCTAAGGCCTTTGACAGTGAATGCTACTGGGTCTTACTGTCATTTTAATATCTTCGAAAATTTTAACTGAGCTCTGGTTTGGTTTCTTGGATGGTTTGGAAAGACAATCTATAGTTGTGAAAAATAATGCCTTTCTTATGTCACAAGAGTAGCCCTGCTGGATAATGGTTCATCTAGTCCAGCATCTTTGTTCACTCTGTAGCCAACCAGGTGCCCCTGGAAGCTTACAAGTAGGACACAGAGACCAGAGCTTCCCCCCACTGTCCCCTCCACAGCCCTGGTATTGACAGGGTTACTGATTGTGAATATAAAGGTTCCATTTAGTAATTGTGATTGCTGGCCCATGATGAATTTTATCCTCACTGAATTTTATTCTCAATGAATCCCCTTTTGAAGCCATCAAGTGGTTAAGATGCTGAACTGCAGGTTGTGGAAGTTCAGTAGTTCAGCAGTTTGAGACCCGAGTTGTCGCATGACGGAGTGAGCTCCCGTCTCTAGTTCCAGCTCCTGCCAACCTAGCAGTTCGAAAGCAAGAAATTGCAAGTAGATAAATAGGTACCACTTCAGTGGCAAGGTAACAGCGTTCCGTGCACCTTGGTGTTTAGTCATGCCAGCCACATGACCACGGAAACATCTTCGGACAGCGCTGGCTCTTCGGCTTTGAAACGGAGATGAGCACCGCAACCCTAGAGTTGGATTCAATGGGCTTTTGAGCAAGGGAAACCTTTAGCTTTTGCCTTTACCTAAACTAGCTGCCATTACTACATCCTGTGGCAGTGAATTCCACAAATTAATTGCTCATCAAGTTAAGAAGGATTTCCTTTTGTCTGTCCTCTATCTACTGTTCACTGACTCCACCACCACCACCCCAAGTTCTCATACTCTGATTACGGAAGAAGATGATGTCTCTATCTCCTTTTTCCACCCCATTTCATACTTTGATAAACTTCTATGACTTCTTTGGCCCACAGTCAAACAACTGGTGCCTGCATCAATTCAACTGCAGTGAAATTATACACACCATTTGCAAAATACCATTTGCAGCTAAAATGCCGTTTCTTTCTTGTAAATTTGTCATTATGGGGCTTATTTAGGAGAAAGAAGGAATAGTAGTTAATAAGACAAGCAAGATTGTAATAGATATGAATAGGAAAAAGCCCTTTTAGAAATGAAATGCAATGAAAACGCTTAATTGAAACACAAAGTAAAGTGGAAGTAACTATAGTTTTGTTTTTTTAAGAGTGAAAGTAGCATCATAGTGATAAAATTATCATAAATAACCACTGCTTTAACCAAACCAAGACGGATTGCCTTCTGGTAGCCAAGGTGAAGGAAGCCAATAATAGAAGTGTAAATCTGACAATAAATAAAAAATTTCCTGGGGCAGTTGTCATAATTCTTAAATCACTGACTTAGCCAAAAGAGCAGCAGAATGGGCCAGCTGCTCAGAATCGCAGGGCATTTGCGCTTGGTTGGAAAAGAATTTACGAAGAAGGGTCTGGTAAAATGACAGAAAGCTCACTGCCCCATGCATTTTATATTTCCCCAGCTGCCATGACAGAATGCAAACTAGAGCTGAGAAGGACTGGACTATTTCAATGTCAGCCCTACACTCAAAAGCTCTGAAGTAAAGCTAGGTTCATATTCTGCACAAAACAAATTCAGAAGACGGGTGGACGGGTGTAAATGTGATGCAGCATGCAATATAAGTGGAATGTCAGTTGCATGCTTGATTTGACAGTCACACAAGAAACCTGCTGCACATACTAAGACAGGAGATGTATCAGATAAGGCAATGTGTGACCACATTCAGGACAAATTACGGTAAAGTTCACAAGCTTAATAACTAAACAGGGGGGTTATATAATGAAGGAAATAAAACATTAGTGCCACAGAAAATATGACAGTGAGATTAATCCAGATATCAATACATCTATGATTATATCAGTGCCTAGAACCAGAGTGTTACGGGTTGAAGACCTGACTTTACATGGAATTAGCATATGTCAGGTGCAAGTATCCTTAGTAGTGTTGCAATGGACGATACATGCCCGTTATAAGGCATATTATAAATCATACTGAGTACATTAATATGATCCCTGATCTGTGTGAAGAAGCACACTAGAGTGCCCCATAGGCAGTTGAATTGTGCCTTGAAAAAAAAGTAAAGTATCACATTACAAGCATTCTGCATTCAATGCAGCAGAAAAGGGCCCATGAGGGAAAAGAAGATCTTATAAACTATCAGTGTGGCACTCCTAAATAGCACCTCACACCCTTGAATTCCATCCAATAGTATGTGATTTGGAAAGAGAAACCACTATCTTTGTTAAACGTCTTCAAGCCACTACCTGTATATTGTAATGTTTAATTTAATTGGGTAATGAATCAGCTAATCAATTATGTTAATGTACCTTAATTGGCTGCAAGCATCTGTGAGTGGGGGGGGGCGGTATGTGACATATAGCACTGTACCTATATCTGGATATATCCCGGCTATTTTGAATGTTATGAAAGCATGAATGATTTAACAGACAAGTTGGAACATAGAGCTGTAATGAGCTTTTGAATCACCGATACTCACACATAAAAGGGGGCCTGATCATCAGCAGGTGTTGGAGAAGATCTAGAATTTGAAGCATACGACGCAGCATCTTTTTACAATGGTGTTAACAAATGTCAGTGACTTGTGCTGAATGCAAGATGTGTGCACACGTAGTTTAAAGTGTGCACTCCCTATTTTCTTCCCTCATTCCCCCCCTCTTCACCTCCATTCTGTTCTCACCTCCCCCCCACCCCCCAGAAAGCATCTGTTCTTTATTGGAGTGTATAGCGGTGATTATTAACAAGCATGAAAAATGGAACTGCAATCAATCTTTTATTCCTTGATCAGAGATTCATCTCCACACGTTCGGTTAAGGCAGGTGAATTCTGAATCAGCTCGGTAATTATCTGGCAGATGTTACAAACAGCTGTTGCTGCTACTGCTAAAAGCAAAAGCCTGGATGTTATTCTTATAGAAATGTAAGGTGGTTTGAGAAGTAAAGCTACACATTCTGCTGAGGCCACACATCTGCTTTTTCTGCTTAGGAAAAAAAAATGTGTGCAGATAGATGAAACCTATAACTGAAAGTGAGGTCGCTCTTGAACTCATAGGCTAGAATCCTAAGCAGACTTCCTGGGAAGTAAACCACCCTGTGGGTCTTAAGTGGGAGCATTTGAGCAAACTACCTGTTTGTAAATGTTTGACTTAACTCAGGAGGCAACAAGCATGCAATTTAAATCAGTGGTGATCTACCCCCGGTTTTAAATGTTGTACATTAAACCTGTTAATTATGAAAGAAAATGTATCAAATTAAATCAAATCCTTCCTTCCCTTCAATTAATAGGAACTTACAGAATACAATGAAATGTCTTAAATACACCAATTCCTTGGAATTCTAATTTATACTAAAACAATAACGTATCTGAAAATGCCAACAGAATATTTGTAGCAATATGGGTTTTAACTGACCATTATTAGACTTCTCTTATGTACCCATTTTTAAAACAACTAAGTTCAATAAATAAAAGATTGTTTTTCTGACATTCAATCAAAGATGTACTGAACATTATTCTTAATGTCATGTGTCATACTTTCTGTTTTCAACTGCTTTTACAGAAATATTACACTTTTACTACAGAAATATTCCACCAAGTCAGCAATCATTGGTAAGCAAAAGCCAAACATGAAAATGTCATCTAGACTTGTTAGTTGATTTGCCTGACCAGAAATTTTCCATTGCATGAGGTCTACATGGAGGACAGAAAGCAGAAATTCCTGGTCCAGCAGCCAATGAGCACTTCTGTCATTTCACTGGGATATACAGAAACTGAGGCCTTGCGCACACACGCTCTAGGCTTTTCAGAACAAGAATAAGCTGCATGTGCTTAGGCTGCTCACCAACTCATGTGAGGAATGGAAGCCAGGAACTGGAGCATCTAGTGACTAGAAATGTGGTAGACAGGACTCCATCACCTCCCTTCACTTGCCATTCAGTGACAGCAGTCCATATGCCTGACACCATTACTGCTCAGAAAGACAGGGAAGGAGATGAGTAGACCAAATCTACTCCCTCTTCCCCATCACTTGCCGCTTCCTCCACACTCTGCAAAGGATCGTGATTGCACTCATGGTGGATGTTAATTCTGATTGTGTTCCACAACTGGTTGCAAACATATGTACTTGATTAAATATTCGATACAAACAGTGCAGCAATGAAGAGAAAACAAATTATTTCCCCCAGAACAGAATTTCCACTCATTTCAGCTGACAGGCAGTCCTATGGACCCTTTACCAGCTACAACTTGCATATCTCAGAAACTGCTTCTTCCCATACAAGTAATCCACCTTTTATTATTATCAGAGAAGAAAACACTTGAACTAGTGTTTTTTTCATCTTGTAAATTCAGCAAGGGCAAGAGGCGAGGCAGTCTTCTGCTGGGGCTTTGACATATTGGAATCAGGTGAAAAACGCAATATTATTTTTAGAAAAGGCACAGAGGGTTCAGTATAATCGTGAATAATTTTAAATAGCAGTTTAAAATGTTTATATTTTACTTATACATTTTATGTAATCTTTTTGGATGACTGCATGTAAGCTTTGTGAGCTGTCCAGGTTCTTCTGAAAAAGGCAACACATATATTTAAAAACAAAACACACTGGGGAGACGGGAACCTGCACCCTGCAAAAGGTAAGTGGTTGGGGTGATCTTTCCAAGTGGGTGGATTCCATACTGAGCCACAAATCAGTGACAGAGCATTTGTTCTACATCCAGAAGGTCCCAGGCTCAACCTCCAGCATGTCCAGCTAAAACAATCAGGTAGTGGGAAATCTTTACTTGTAGCTGAAAAGCTGCGGCCAGTTACAGCAGACAATACAGACCTTGATAGACTAGAGGTCTGACTTCATGATGACCTACTAAGTTACGATGTGGTGGAGTAACACCATGAAATCCTTGAATACCCATTAAGATCTGCACAAGTATGTGATTGTTTCTTATTAACCTTACTCTGGCCATTATCAACTTTATTCTATGCATAGTAATTTCCTGCATTTGGAAATGAAATCATAGTTAATGAACTTTAGTTCAAGGCAGAATGAGAGTTTCTTCCTTCAAATACGGATTATCATCCCTGGATTCACTTCTGACTGACTTCAAGACCTAATCAGCTGTTGGGGCTTCTTTTATTTGACAGAGTTTCTTCGTTTCTGAGCAGCTTATTCACCATTTCCTGAATACTCTACAATTAGATGGGTACATAGTTACAACCTCTTTTACTGTTTACACGCTTCTCATCTCATGTTGTCACCTATTATTGTATACGTTTTTGATAGTGCACTAAATTTGTAATTATCATCTTTTACATTTTGACGTTTATTGTTATTTATTGTTATTCCTTAAAAGTTACACAATAAAATTTATATATATATAAAAAAAACCTTATCCTTCATTTTTAAAATGATATTAACCTGCCACACAGTATTCTTGAAAGCCAACCATAATCATTTTCCCCTGTACATACTTTATATCTGGTCCAATGAGAGAATGTCTTCTCAGCATGGCTCGTGCTTGTGCATTAGTTAAATTAGTGGTAGGCTCTTCATTGATAGACAGTATACAGTCTCCTACACCAATCCGTCCATCACGACTTATAGAACCACCATGGATAATGCTGCGAACTATCATTCCAGAGCCATCTTTATTGGAACTTACAGTCATCCCTTTAAGAAAAAAAATAAACAAGAGATATCACTCTACAGCTACTATCATATGAAACAAGTGGGACTTGTAGGTGGAATCCCATCCTCCCCACTCTCTTTCCGAGCCCAGAGCAGCCCCCAGGCTCTCCAGCAGCTGCTGCTGGGTTCAGCACAGAGTCCTGCACTCCATCACCACCAGGCCCAGTGTGGAGTCCCAGGTTACGGGGCTGCTGCCACCAGGCCCAGCACAGTTCTGGGCTCTCTGGCAGTTACTGCTGGTTCTGGTGCAGCCCCTGGGCTCTCTCTGGCCTGCGCCATTGCTACCAGGGTTCAGCTGCTGCTGGGGCATGGCTCCCAGGCTGTGACATCAACGGCAGCATGCCCAAAGCAGCTCCTGGCCTGCTTGGCTGCCACCAGGCCCAGCACAGAACCCTGGGCTGTGCCACCACCCGGGTCCAGTGCAGCTCCCGGGCTGCACAACCACTGCCAGACTCAGCACATAGCTCTAGGCTGCGCACCTATCGCCACCCCCCTGAGGTAAGTGCATTCTCTGCACTTGCATAAGAATGTTGTTTTACTTTTGGGGAGATTTAAATACCTCTACCTTTATTTAAGGTTTTTCTGCAAACGTGGGGAGTTCCCCAAGTTTGCAGAAAAACCTCTATAGCCTCCAAGTGACCCTAATCCACAGATTTAGCTATCCAAAGATGGGAACCACAGGTAGCTATTAAAATGCAAGATATGGAGGCAAAGGTTGACCAGTGATGATAACTTGCACTCAACCACATTCATCCACATTCATCTTAGGCTTTATACATGTGGAGTAGTTATTTGGTCAGTACACAAAGGGGTACATATTCAGAGAGGTAAGTCACCTCTCATTTTTCCCAGTTATAAAACTTGCTACACTATCAATGGACAGATTCAGAAGGCCTCAGTCTCTTTAAAAATAAAGGCAAATCTTGTTACATTTCTTCTAGAAGATGAGAACAATATAATATGTGAAAATCAGAATAGAAGAATATGCTACTAGGAGATGAGAATGATTCATACACAAAACGTCCAAAAGCCCTACTTTTACAAACCCTTTATCAAACTGGATTAGAACACTATACCATAATGTAATAACTAGAAATGTGTAAACCTATCAAAATAACTAAGTTGTTTTCTTTTTAAACCTGCTCCGGCCATTACAACCAGTTGTAGCCACACAAATTTCAACACTTGAAAATTAACTTTAAAATTTAGCTTCTGACTAATTAGAAGCATTTATGTAGATCTGAGGTAACTGATCTAGTGAGAGCTCAAGGCATATTGCGGTAAAACCACCAACTGGGCAAAAACTATTAGTGTGTGCAGACTTCTTTCCTCTATATTGAGAGAAAAGCATACTGTTCTCTCTCTCACTCATACACACACACACACAAGCGCGCGTGCACACACACACACAGAGAGACCATGTCCTGCCCTTCATATGATACCTAGTCCAAAGAACAAACTTCCTTCACATAGTTTCTCTAATCCAGTTTGGTGTGGATATGGAAGAGTCAGGTCACCGCAGAGCTCCAAGTCTCTCAAGGGGTTCTTCACTCATTTAAATAGCAGGGGCAACTCCATGTCTGCAAAAGGGTGAATATGCCTGCTCCCTCCACAGGTACAAATGGAAAGGGATGCTTATGCAGCTTAGTATGAACACTGAATTGAATGTGAAGCTCTGAGTCAGGAGCAATGAACCAAATCTAGCATTTTCATTTTTTAATGAGTTTTATTGAGATTTTTTAAAATGAAAAGCTGAAACAAAAAAGGGTTGCTACAGTATCTAGGCAAAACTGAGGATAACCACAACAAAAATGTGCATATAGCAAACAAGCAAGATACATACCTAGACTTGAATTGCCTTTTGCAATAGTAATAGTCTTTTCAAATTTGTTTTTGCTTGTACTTGTGGAACACCTTCCACCAGGTGTTAGGCTACTATTTTCCATCAAAAATACTCGATCCTGATAAGAAGAAAAACAGTGTCAGTTCCTAACAGCAAAAATCTGGAAAACTTGATTGGATTCTGCGTGATTTAGAAATTACAGATGGCTCCCAATCTGCCAGGCATTCATGTAGTAAGAACTGCATATTTCTTATTTGCTTACAAAGCTCTTATTTCCCTTTAAATTAATCATACAGCGCTAAAGGAAAAATAAGTTACCATAGTGGTTTACTGCTAAAACATCAGCATGTTCACAAGTTCCATTGCAGTGAGGCAACATGATAAAACAGCAATTTCCTACACTGCTGGCAGCATCATAGAACTGGCAAGCGCCTATGCCAGGCTCTATGCTGTTGCCAAGCCCATAGACCATCCTGATTCTGTCCAGATGTCCCAGGGTTTCTTGCTCGCTTGCCCTACATGTGGTAGGCTGGCCTGAGCTCATTCTCGCTACCCATTTGCCTACCTGACCTCTCTCATATCCCTATATTTTCCATTTTTGCTCTATGTGGCCAACATACTGTTTTTAAAGCTGGTGGGATCATAGACCATCAAGGGATCAAGATTTCTCTGTCATCTGGCAAAGACATCCCTGCTTTACCATTCAGAATACTTTGGCTAACATAAGTTTGTGGATGCTATGTCAACCAGAGCAGAGTCCTTTGAAAAAGCTCAGTAACACAAACTGAGTGTCACATGCACTCTGTACACCAGCAGCCCAGGGTAGGGCCAAATTATGCAATACCAAGGCCCGCAGCCACAAGGACTTTGTATTAGATGTGCAATGGGATTTCTGTGCCTCCAGGACATGTGGTCCAGATTCTCATCAAAACGACGGCACACAGTAGAAGCAGCTTCAGCTTCCTCTAGCACACATGCCATTTTCAGGACTCAAAACAACCTTGGAATGCCACTATTTGCTCTAATGGGGAAATATGCATGTAGCTATCATTACAAATAAACTTCCCACTGGAGCAAATAGTGGCTGTTTCATGATGCAAAAAGAGCATTGAGGGAAGGGGAGGGGGCTAAGCCACAGTGTCTTGGGAAGCCACAAATGGCTCTTTGACATGTCTTCAGAGCACTGTTCCCCAAGGTAGCTTATGTCCCAACTTTTGGGATAGTGGGGCTCATTCTGTGGTGGGGCTCATGGTTGGCAGGTGGTTCCCACTTTGAAATAGCCACAGCTGGAGGAACTGGAAGATGGGTCAGCTGTGAGCCTTCTAGAAGGGTGGGCATGTTGTGCTAGGCATGGAACTAAAGGGAATGACCTCTCCAACAACCCACATCCCTCTCTGCATTCTCTCATCGCAGCACCCGGGCAGCTTCCAGGAAGAAAGCAATCTTGCCACAGAGGAGAATAAAACCTCGAGGAAAAGAAGCTGGCCATAGTGGGGTGGTTATGGTTTTACTCGTTCTCTAGGGCCAGCTTGCTCTCCTCCAGGTGCCTTGGCATCCTCACTCTGTCTGTGCCACATGCTGAAAAGACAGTGAGAAGGCAGAGAGGGAAGTGAAGGGCACACAGGCTTCTTGAAAACTGAGGTTTCACTAGGCTGCTGTAGGCGTCTGCAGCAGAAAGCCTGAGAGCTTTTGCTTTCTCCTGAACTGTGAGCCTTGTGTCAGGGAGAAGGCAGCACTGGAAGTATAGAGTACCCACACTCAATAGTGGGACATCCTTACATGCTCAGAGGTATTCTGGCATGAAAGACATTGTGGTTATATATTTAATATTATTTCTTATATGTTTGTCTTTGTGTATTTGGTAGGGTGGCATATAGGAGTTATGAGGCTCTTTTGGTTCATGGTAACTGCAAATGTGTACCACTGACCTAGACCCTGCAGTAATGATCAGAATGGGCCTGCATGCATCTGTGAGGCGCAAAACTCCCACTGCACATCTGATACAAAGTCCTTGTGTTATCAGCACCGAGTTACCTCTAGTTTCCATGAACAGGAGCGGACTATGCTAATGAAGGATTTGGAAAAGACATTTGGGAAGTACAAAGATGATAATGAGGGCCAGTCCTGTTATTCTACAGTTCAGCCATTGGCAGGTACATAGTGAGCATTCTGGAATCAATAGAAATCCAATAATCTCTGGGGAAAGCCCAAACCTGTTTTATTTGCACCAAGTCAACTGGATTTAAAAATGTACATCATTATTATTAGGGTAGATTCTATCCCTATTCTACCACTCCACTGAGCAAAGTCTGAAGCCTTCCTCCAGCCTTAGGACACCTCCTCCACCTTAAGAGGCCCTTCCGTTAGAGGAAGAGCCTCTTATGTTGGAGGAAGACTTCTTGGAGAAGGGATGGATCCACTCCAAAGCACCATCAAAGTACAGCGAAACTCTTACTTTTCCAGTATAATCAAGAGGCAACCTGGAAGTTACATTTGCATTCTGTGTGACTTCAGTAGTTAGGAGAGGCTCTCCCCAAGTGCTTTTATGTTCATGTTCAGCTAGTTTCTTAGATGCATGTATTGTTGGATCTTTTCTGATAAACCCATCAGGCTGTTCCACACATACTTCTGTGGAGGATTCGCTCTCTCTCCCACTCTGCATTACATCCATGTTGTACAGGTTTGGGTCAGATAATCGGTAAGTGATTGAAGCATCTGAAGAGTCTATACCAACACTCTGGAGAACAAGATGAAAAGAATTTCAAATTTTGATATGCCATTGTTGAAATAAGACAGCTAACTATTATTCTGAAGTCAGGCTGTTTCATGATGCAAAAAGAGCATTTTATTCCCATTTTGTACACTGCTAGGGCTCTTGTGAAATAATCATTATTTACATGAGGAACATAATACACTTAGGTTAATACCAGAATAAGGTAAAATAATAATGAGACATTATAACTTCTTCACCCAAAAGATACTTATTGCCTTGCCCTGCTACAATATCCTTACCTGCAGATCACTCTCTTGTCCTGGATCAACTAGGCTGTTTTGCTATAGGACACAAAATAATTAATCATTATTCTTTGTACTATAGCTATTTTGTTTGTATTAATATTTTTCTGGTTATTAAGACACATTGATATGAAAATAGAGAAGTATCTGAAGAACCTTCATAGCCACAACCATTTCAATTATTCAAAGTTTTGTTCAAATTTATAAGAGTTTCATTTTACAAATGCCAATGTGAGAGTTGACGCAATAGCTAGTGTAGTATAGTAGTTAAGTGTACAGGATTGGGCCTTGGCAGACATGGATTCATATCCCTCCCTGTTCACCATGAAGCAAACTGGGTCATTCGTTTTCTGCTTACCCCAAAAAATGAAGTACTTCATGTAAAGAAAGAGCAGCTCGTAGAATTCACTGCAGTGGGATGTGGTAATGGCCACTCATTTAGTTGGAATGAAAAGAGATTAACAAATTTGTGAAGATTAACAAATTTGTGAGTCTGCTTGCGGGGATACAAGTCCAATAAAATAAATTTTTAAAATCCATGATTAGCTATGAGCCATAACAGAGATTCCATGTCTGAAGGCAATAACTCTTGGAATATCAATGCTAGGAGGTCAACAACAAAGGGAGACTTTGGATTTTGTGGTCCAGCTTGTAAATTTTCCAGGAGTACTTGGTTGGCCACTGTGTAAAACAGGATGCTGGACTGGATGAACCAGTGGCCTGCTACAGGCTACACTGGCTGCTCATATGTTCCTATGATAAAATGGAGCAAAGGGGAAACCATATATGCTACCCTGAGCTCCTTCTAGAGATAAAAATATGACAAATATAGTCTCAGCTGAAATTAATAGGATATGCTCCCAGTGTTCCTGATGCAGTACAAGCCTTTCTTATTAAAAGCTATCTGAAATACAGGGTTTCTATCAGCTTGAAAACAGTAGATCATAATTTTATAATATATGATATGCCCCTGCACTGCCCTTCCAGAAATAAGAAGACATATATTGATAGTGCACATTATGTTTAAGTTCCATTGACTAGTTACATAGACATATTTTCAGAAGAGTAGTTATTCCATACCCTAAATCATCATTGTGATTGAAAAGGTATATTAGTGGGGGGAAACTATTACAGAGGGGTGAGAGAATCATTAAAACCGTTTCATGTGTGTCTGTTCAGCCTAATACCTGGCAAGTAAATTGAGCAAAGACTAAATGCTTTTCTAATCAGCATGATGCAATTAATTAAATCTCATCAAGAGCAGGAGACACTTCAGTCATCTTTATTACATCTGAATAGCATCTGCTTTTCCAGCCTTAGACATTTATACTTAAATGGCCTCAAGCTGCTGCTGCTTCTGAAGCCATGCATAACTGCATATCTAGCAATACTGGAACTAAATGCAAGCACCATCCAGTTTTTGACCCATTAGTAGTATAACATCCCCCCGTTGTCCAAGAGAATGGTAATACACAAAGAAACCTAAGGCTGAGGTCACATGCGCCAGTTGAAACGGAGGGGAAGCGAGGCTATTTCCTCCGGAGGATTCTGACATGCACTTGCGAGATCACATCTCCCTTTGTAGCTGTGAGCACAGCCCATCACTGTGTTATCAGACCCAACTGCGGCTGAGTCCCTTTTTTTGGCCGTTTGTTTGTCATGCACATAAACAAGGGATCAGACCTTCGCACTGAGGGTCCCCTATGGAGTATGCGATGATGCGCATACTGTGAAGGGGGGGGACGGCACTGAACTGGGATGGCATGATCAGACCATCCCGACAGCATGAGTGTGTGCTTGTGCGATCAGACAGGGGAAGTCCATCTGTGGCCCATCAGAACCCATTAGAGCCGGACTTTCCCCAGTCCGCTTCTCTGCTTCTGCGGTGGAGCAGCACAGGTTGCTGACGACTGGTGGATGCTTCCCAGATGTTGCTTTCTGATCGCTCCCTTTAGATCCATGAGGCATTTGCACCTATGTCAGAAGTAAAGGTGCGTGTGATCGCAGCCTAACATAGTTTTCTTCACAAAATTCTTCCTTTGCCTCCAAAACAAACTGGAATCTTATTGTGTGTTGTATCACTTTTAATTACCACAATCCTTAACAGAGTTACACTGTTAAAAGTCCAATTAAGTCAGTGAACTTAGAAGAGTGTAACTCTGTTTAGGATTGCACTGTGTTTCTAAAAAATGACCATATCAACACTACAGTATGCTTTTCATATGCTAGTTCTTTACCATGCTGCAGTCATCTTCTTTTGACATGACCAACAGCCGTGCAATGGAAAAGCTTCCACTTCCAAGAAATAACACAGATATTTTCTATGACACATATTCCTCAGCTCCAGGAAGTCCCTCCATGTATTCACAGAAGTCAGTGCATCACAACTAAAGTGCTGACGTCTTGCTCCTTGCACAACTATTTGCCCATTGCATATCTATTTGTATTTCCAAGTGAAACATTAAAAGCGAACGAATTTGAACATTAGCACTTTATTCCCGTTTTTCCTCAATGAAAATGAAAGAGAGACTTTAGGAAATGCTAGTGTGACACCTTCTATAAGACCAGATGTGTTGCAGAATGTGCATCTCCCAGCATACACCTTGTCTAATCCCTTTAAGTAACAATTACTAAGTTAAACAATGCAATCTGTCTCATTGGCACAGCAAAGGTACATTCTGTTGTGGATTAGGAAATTCCATTAGGAGATAAACTCCGGCTGTCAGCCTGATGGCCAGTAAAGGCAGAATCACATTCCAGAAGGAATACTGCCAGCTGGAGAATCTCAGGTGTGAAAGAAAGAGCAGCTCCTCTTTTCAAGAATATACACCGCAAATCAACCAAGAAAATGACTCAACACCACCTGCAATGATGTTGGGCCCACCTCGAGTATGATAGGAAACACATGGAATATATTCAAGCTTTTAAAAAAATTAACAGGCTGCCAAGAATTGGAGGGCAAAACTAAGATGGGTGAGAAACCAAAAGGCACCATCGAACTTTTAAAAAAGGAACTGTACATGGGTATGGGTTCAATATATTTGTTTAAAAATACAGAACTTTTATAGGGTTTTTTTAAGAAATTTGTTCTTTACTGATTTACTAGGTTAAATTTCCTTATTTTGCTGTTTTGGTGCGGATTTAATTTTAGCATCATTTTGAGAGCTCATTTTCTAAGAGCCATTGTAACTAACTGCTTGCTATTAAGAAAAAATAATTGTTTTTTCCTTGTCTGAACTGCTATACATATAGTAATACTACATTGATCTTACATACACCTAAAATGTCTATTTGTTATTTAGATTTATTTGAATCAAAGTCCAATTTTTTCCGATAAGGCACCTTAGAATTCTATTCTTTTTTCCTTAACAATATAAGATGTCATTGGCCTGTTGATTGTTTTGTCTTCCAAAGTCTGAAAGATGTTCAATCAACACTGCATAAATAACACTACTTAGTAATCTAATAACAAAAAACCATGAACAAAAGAAACAAACAGTGGCAACATTTAAGAGTCTCTACATCTAACACAGTAGTCAGACACAAACAGTTTTCCATTCAAACATGCTTTATCATCCACAATAAAATGTTCTTTCCCTCCCTTTTTTTTTACCTTGGGAGTTGAAGAGAGTAGTGAGAGGTTATAGTTCAGGTCATTGGCACAACTGTTGCCATGCAGAGTTGAAACTGACGACTGGAAGGTACCACCATTGTCCGGGGAATACTGTGATTCAAAAGTGGATTCCTCTGCTAGATCTGCTTCGCTTGAATCCACCTAACAGCAAAGGCAATTTAATCAGGCTATCTGCTACCTTCCTATCACATAAGCCCCAAACACTTATAAATCTGTGACTAAATACACTTCCTGCTACTTTGCTTTGTAACATTTTTGTTTTCAATTATCTACACACAAAACCTTTGACATGCAATAAGTCTGTTTTTGTTTTCAACTTGTTTCTCTATAACAATAAGTCAAACAAAGGTTGATTCCAGTGGCACCAACAAAGTTTTATTCAATAAGGTCAGTGCTGCGTGAATCTCAGAGCATGGTTTGAAGCTGATTTTGAAAGTACATCAAATCTCATATAGGCAGCATCTGATATCCCCCCCCCAAAAAAAAAATGATTTGGCTTCATTTAACTTTCTGCAGATGAAATAAATCTCACATTGCTTAGTGACTGAATACAGAAATGCTGCACATCCTTTAGGGTTTCTCTAAATTGATTTAACCCGTTATTATATATGTTATCAATCTACATCTGAGATTCCAAGTGGTTTATAGATTGCAGACTGTTTTAATTCCTATTATATTTAATCTATATATCTAATAGCGAAGTTGCCCCCGGAGTGCGGATCACTAAATCAGCGCTCCGGGGGCAGCTGGGGGGCCGGGGGAGGTTTGTGCACACGTGGGCCAGTCCCCACGTGTGCACAAAAATCCTAAAAGCTGAAATTTTTTTGGGGGGGATGTTTAAATCCCCCCGAAAGTGCAAGAGCGTGAACGCTCTACGAACGCCGCCGCCGCCGCTTGGAAGGCGAGCAGCGAGCCGGGGGGGCTGACCGGCGAGGGCTGAGCGGCCAGCCGCTTGGCCCTCAGCTCAGAGCC